ACATCGAGGACACACAACATACAGAGAACCTTCACAGCAACAATACTCACAACAACAACATTCCGGAACACGACAACCAACAAAGCAACAGCACGGACTCCTAGTGGTTTGCTTTTGTGTTTGAATGATGGTAAATGTCTCTCCAGGCAACCCCACTCCTAACCAAAATGGGGGAGTGCAAATTTACAATTTCGATGCTTTCCGCTACATTTACTAGACGAGACGCCCCTAGGGTTTCAGTGAAAAGCCCGCTCACTTGCTGTTTCGCATATGTATATGTATATACACACAACCATACTGGCGTAGATAGCGTATGAACCAATCCAGGAAAAAAAATGTTCATTTCCTATTGGTTTCTGGAATATATCCACTCCAGCGCGACTATAATAAGCATATATATATATATCAGTATATCTATCATAAGCCCCCTTGCCTTGCCTTTTCCCGTCCACGAAGGAGTTCTTCGGACCACAGGGAGTAATCCTCGCAGTGCTGCTGCTCGAGCTTTTCCTGGCGGCAGGTATGCAACCCTGAAAATGCTTCTCAACATTTGGCATCATTTGGCTCTGGGTTAAAACTAGGATACCTTGGTTGAAAAAGTGGTTGACCTACAAGCATTGAGGTCTTTCACGCGCTGGACCAGGAAAAAAACAGCAGGTGTTTCACCATTCAGGTCTCTTTCTCAGGTGTTGAAGGCAGCACAGCTGCGGTTGCCACAACAAACCAACCAACGGCGTTCCACCATCGCTCGAAGCATCGGTACCATCATATACCATCGCCATACCGGAGAACATGCTTTCGCCATACCATCGGGAGTCATGAGTGTTTCATGGAGAGAAAGGCTCAAAAAGCACCCCCGCCTGTTGCAGCGCCATGGCGGCCACCTGCTCCTGCCCACGAAGTAACCGCACCGGACACGAGGAGCGCCTTTCGACGAGGCGTGTCGGTCGACTCGACGCGTCCTGGAAGGTCACCTGCTGTTCCACCACTTCGTTGGCCAGCTCCTGGACCTGGCTGTTTCGAGGGATGTGGGGGGGGTAGGGATGAGTAGATGTGTTTGCAAGAATGGGGCTTGGTGGGGATTGAGATAGATCAGCTTTGGGAGTGATAGGATGGTGGTGTAATTCACAACATCCAATGTTGTTTGGGTCATGGAGAGCTCTAGGACGGAGTGCTGCAACGCGGCCTGCTTTTCCATACGCTTCAACGCTTCAGCGTGGCGTTCTTCTTGTGCTGCCATCAAAGACGCCTACAAAACGTGAGAGGGATCACTGCATACTCCCTGTAGTACAAAATCCAGCCAAATGCGAGCTATTGTTGGACATCAAATCCCTCAGTTCCACCGTACGTCTTCACCATCTACCAACCACGCGACAAAAACGACCCAAAAAACCCACCGCCCCAGTAGTAACAAGAAGCTAGTAGTAACAAGTGCCTTACTAGTAGTAACAGGTGCCTTACTAGTAGTAACAAGAAGCTAGTAGTAACAAGTGCCTTACTAGTAGTAACAGGTGCCTTACTAGTAGTAACAAGAAGCTAGTAGTAACAGGTGCGCCCAACCCACGACCCACGCGGACGCCGCCTCTTCCTCGATCCACTGTTCCAAGAGCCTGGCGCGGCGCGAACGCCCACACGGAGGTCCACCACGGGGGACGGAGTGCGGTCAACCACTCCGCCGAGCGAAAACGGGAAGAAGCCAATGAATTTGGCTTGGAGGGAAAATCGACTGGAAAAGAATTGGGTTTTTCGCCTCCAAAACGATGGGTGTCCTGTAACTGTTCCATGAAGCCAATTCTAGGAAACAATGGAGGGGTTGGTGACAGGTGACAGGTATCATATTAGCAACCCCTCCATTGTACACTTGAGGTATCCCCTCTATTCATCAACCAAGCAAGGCCATAAAAGGCCATCTCTAGTTGAGACGATTTCTCTGATGGAGTCCTGCATCTCAGATTGAGAAGCTCCAAGAGTACCTCAAAAAGACAAGGCACAGAGGTGAGTCTAAGAGAGGAACCATGCAGAATCATGCAGAACCTCTGATCTCTTTCAACACTGTTGACCATCTCTGGCGCACGCGGTAATGATTCAGCCGGACATCATGTGCATCCGCCTTGGACGCCCGGTCAACGCGCCGGTGGGACCGGCCCAAGTCACGCCTTCACATCGGGCTCGGTCGATGGGCCCTGTCCTATGGACCCAGCTGGTCCCGTCTAGACATCAAAGAATATCATGAATAGTACACGCAGGAGTAAACAGAAAGGGATTCTGCTCCACGTTTTGCTCAACATCCTGCTCTGTTTGTGCTAGGTGTTGAGAAAGAACGCCTGCTGATATTGCTTCATGCGACCAAGTTAAGCTAATGCTCTCATTCTCCTAACAGCATGGGGTTACGGTTATTGGTGGGTTTCCCATAGGTTGTTTAATTTTAATCCACACTGAACCTATCCGAACCCAAAGACTACGTAGTCTTGATTGGCTAAGCTGATTCTTCCGTACCCAATGTTTGGTACAACATGTTGGATCAATGAGAAACGTTTCTGAGTGAATCAGTGAACGTGTTGCGCAAGCTTGGTTTATGCTTGCCATGAGACAAGAATAGTCTGAAGGCAGGGGAAAAATATACATAAACGATCCCTTTTCCCAAAGTTTGGAAGTGCAGGAGACTCTGGGACGGGCTTTTTCCCTACTGTGTCCCGCTGGGGTCGTTGAGCCTCGTGCCTCCCCAGCATTTCGCTGCGTCAGGAGCTTCTGCAATTCAGACTCACTCTGCCTGAGCAGAACAAAGAATACAATGACCAATCCAGGAAACAGGAAAAGCTCGAAGGCACTCTGCAGAACATCAAGCTCGTTCCACTCCCTCCAGCCTCAATGCAGTCATGGCCCAGTCACGCTCTCGTTCCGCAGTCGCAAGCTTTTCCTGGGAAACCAGTCGCTCTCGTTGAAATATGAGGCGTGCAAGCTTCACAAGTGATCGATCACCACCATCTGCAAGCTTCACATTCACAGCTTGTCCTCTAGTTTCTTCAAGTCTTTCTGCAACATCAAAGCCTGGCATGACTGCGAGTGATCCAAGTTTTACTGGTGTTTGACAGAATTGGGGACTGAGTTTGACAAAATCACTTTGGGGCCAAAACTGCCCATCCTTTGAGAAGTGTCTGACTGCAAGCAAACTACCCCCCAATGCTCTGTATCAGGCACATGGGTTGCAACCCTGGGCAAGGTGTTTTTTACTGTAAATGTTTCAACATGACACCGGACTGCACCAGCCGTTATGTTTCTGCTTGGCAGCTGCACCTTCTCATTGGTTGAGGTGCGGCCAGTCGTCGCAGAGGCCTTGGGCTTCCCCGACAAACATAATCTAGTGAAAATGATTATTTGAAAAGTAAACAACTTGTCTTTTTCACTCATTAGATCCCAGATTCCACAGTAAATACCGCCGCCTTCCCGCATCTGGCGGTACTTGGCGCGCTTGATGGTGCACTTGCTGGAGCACTTGGAGGGCTCGACGGAGAGTGACTGGGCAAAATGCTGACGATTCCCGTTTGGGTATACAGGAACTGTTGTGCAAGAATGCGGAAAAGATCTAAACTCCAAGCCAAATCTTCAAAGCTCTTCTTCGATCTGTGCGCATGTTCTCATTGGGCTTCGGACTGTGTATTTCTCTGACGATCCACCCGCGTCCTGGTTCGGTCAAAAGGTCTGTGACACATGGCCCAACGTGGCTCTAGCCACCCGCATGTCCTCTCTGAGGGGTCGAAATCAGCCCCACAACTCCGAACGCTTTTCCCGGCGGTCTTCGCACGAGCTCTGAAAGCATTGCCATGTGTGCCGAGAACATTTGCTCGCTGAATTTTCATTTGTGAGAGTTGGGTACCTGGTCTTAGGTATGCTCATCAGACCTGTGGAAATGATTGCAGAATATAGGAAAAAATTATCAATCATCAAATATAATTACAAAACATTACAAAACATTGGAAATTATTATTTCACATTAAAACAAATTATTCCACATTAAAACAAATTATTCCACATTAAAACAAATGATCACACTGACCTCACAGTCATGGCTCATGCTCTGCAGTGCACTAACACTTTTTGCTGCTTCTGTGTCACTTCTTCTGGTATTTCTTGCGAGGAGGCAAGGATGTGACTGAGCTACCTAACTCTGCAAGAACATCATCTGGAATAACCCCAGGCTCTTGAATAGCACCAGGTTCCAGAGCAAATCCAGCTTGGTCTGCCAATTTTTGGCGCCACATTTGCCAAGCATGTTTGTGAACAGTTATCAGCTTGGACTTCCAAGAATCTTCACTCTGTTGCTCAAAGCTCCTGCTGAAAGAGGAGATGGATAGTGCAGGCAAGAAGGAAGCTGTCCATCTGTGATCATTTCCTTAGCTTTCTCACAATTGATACTACTGTCACCACAAGCTGAGGTTAACACAAACAAAACAAAACATAGCACAAAAAGTAAAAACCATACCCACAGCACTGGGCATTTGCCAGCTAGGTGCCATTGAGTCTTATGTTGCAACCAGGAGGGCTGATCCTTCCTAGAGGTGATGGTGATGCAAACACATTGGGCCCTCTGGGCCTGTGTTCCTTAGCTCCTGGTGCTTGTGATTCTTCCTCATGCTCAATTGCTTGTGATGCTGATGGTTCTGCAAGTGCTGTTGGTGCCTCATGTTCAACTGCTAGTGATGCTCCTAGTGATGCTCCTGGTACTGCTTGTGATGGGTGCTCAGCTGTTTCTACTGCCTCCACATGTTCAGGTGTTTGTGCTGCTGCTGCTGAAGCTGTGGTGGTGGCCAAGGTGGGTGGCTCAGCCTGGTCTTTTGGTGGGTGGTCAGCTGGTGCCTCAGGTAAGGCTAGTTCTGGCACCCACTCACCAGGGCTTGTTGGTGCATCAGGTGATGTTGGGACATAGTCACAGTCTGGGTCTATGGTTATGTCACTGGAACCTGCCATGAGTGGTGCCAGTGTTGCCTCTGGTTCTTCTGTCTTAGCTGCTTCTGCCTCTTCTGTCTTTGCTGCCTCTGGATTTGCATCTTCTGCAGTTTCTCCCTCTAATTTGTCAGGCTTTTTGGATTTGGCTTTGCTCTTGGCTTTGGCTTTTGCTTTTGCAAATTTACCTGCAA